AAAGAAAGAAAGTGCTCAGTTGAGAAACCCAGACAGTGGCTGATGGATGATGGAAGAATGCCCAAAGTTCACGTCCAATCAGCCAGTTGGTTACCGTGCTAAATCATCCTTGACTTTCTTCGGAAGGATCAGATTAAAATGTATAGTTGCTTCCACCTATGGTGGATGGCTTCTTCGGCTTTAAGAGGATTTTTTTCTCTTCCTCCACTGGAAATTATTCAGCAAAATGATTGGAGGTCTGGTCCCTGGTGATGTCGATGACAGCCTTGAAGTTTCTGTTGAACATCACCCTGCCACCCTGAGACTGAGTCCTGGAGCTCTTAAAGAACTTCACCTTCTGTGCATCCCCTTGAAAGGGACGGTGTTTTTGCGGCGAGTTGAATCCTGCCTCTGAAGTATAGCCCTGTGTTCCCCATATTACGGAAGACTGGAACCTTGTAGCTCGTGCCAGAATTTTCGTTTGCAGAGTCTGTGAGCCTTGCACCTTTCTGAGAGCCAGTGGGTGGTGCAAGGGGAGCAGTTCTGGTTCCCTCAGGAGGCTTTTTAGGATTGAGCAAGAGCTGAGAAAGCCAGCTCTCTGGTCCTCAGGGAAAGACAGAGAGCCTGAAGAGCAGTTGGAAGCCCACATGATATAGAAGTTTGCATTGAGCAAAAATCTCAGGAAAAAATAAAACTCCAGTGTGTGAAAGTAAAGGAGCCAGCCATTGTCTTGGGCTGTAGTAATGGGAGAGAATGGCCAGGAGTAGGGGAAGGCGAGGGGGGGGTGGTGTCCAGACTTCCAACATTTGTTGTTGTTAGCTCTGGACAAGTTGGTACCCTACCCTTGGCAATTCCAGGTAGAAAGGGATCGCTGTGCTACTTGGGGTTTTCCTTGGCTGGTTTTCAGAAGAAGCTGTTGGCTTTCTTCCTCGCCCATCATAGTCTGATAGTTCCCTGCACATCCGCACAGCGATGGTGGCTTTGTGTCATAAGGTGCACTGGCCAGGAATCGAACCTGGGTCTTCTGCATGGAAAGCGAGGATTTTATCCTGACCCAGCAGAGCCCACCCCTCGTTTAAGTTGCCGGTGGTTAAGTCCCTCGTTCAGGGAGGCCTCCCACCGACTGCTCCATTTTGGTTTCTCCATGTTCACCTGGCTCTCCCACCTAGAAGGCAGGGATTCTGCCACCGAAGCATCATCACCCCATCCAAAGTTTCAGGGACGAAGAGAGACATGGCCCCTTCTGTCCTGCAGCCCAGCAGCACATGTGTGAGGGCGCAGCCGTACTTCAAGTCTGTGTCATGTACGGTTTCCATGGTAGTTCGTTTCTTACACTGGAACTCAGTGGTTAAGTACTACTGAATACAAACTGAGAAGGATTAGAGTCAACACCTCCCAGCGCCTGACCTAATGGTTTTAAACTGCGTTGCATGCAGAGCATGCCAGGAAGCCAGGAATCGGAATCCTGATGCGTCCAGCTGTGTGCCAGAGGGCCTCACTCCGTGCTTACCCACACAGGTATCGAGCAGCGTGGCCGAACATCTGGCTCACTCCCTTCAGGACTGCTCGAACATCCAGGAGATCTTCCAAACGCTGTACTCACACGGATCTGCCATCTCTGAAAGCAAAATTAGAGAGTTCGAGGTGGAAACGGAGCGGCTGAACAGGTAGGGAGAAGTCTTATGATTTGGGCGGGTCGGGGTGAGGAAAGTAATGAGGCTTCTCCTCGCTCCCTCTATTTTGTCATTTTCGTCGTGGGGTTGCAAGGGCCCTGGGCTTAGACTCAGAGGGCTTGGGGGGAAGTCTCAGTTCCACCCATTTTAGTTCAGAACTGGCCTGTAACCTTTCTGAGTCTAAAATGGAAATAATCATCCCTGCCTTACTCAGGAGGAGCCCTGGGGCGTAGTGGGTTACCTAAGGCTGCTGTAACTGCAAGGTCAGCAGTTCAAATTCAGCAGCTGCTCTGCAGGAGAAAGAGGACGCTCTTTACTCCCATAAAGAGGTAGTCTTGGAAACCCACCCTGTCCTGCCTTGTCCTAGAGGGTCGCTATGAGTCAGAATTGACTCGATGACAGTGAGTTTGTGGTTTGCTCTAAGGGGCCAGTAGCATGGGGGCACGTGTTGGCTTGGTCGTGAGGGGAAGAAATCACACAGTCATAGGACAGGAAGACCTGTGAGGACAAAGTAAACAGAAAGGTGTGGGTCCGAGAGAGGGACTGGAGGGAAAGCGTCTGGGAAAGCTAGGTAGACATTGACTCAGTGGCAGGGAGTTTGAGTTTTGGGTGCCTTACCTAAGACAAAGGTTCTTGTGAGGATGACCTAAGAAGTAAAAAGCCTTCTATACAGTATTTAGCAGTGACTGCATCACCAATTTCCCCCTACACACACACACCTCCTTTTCTCATCTCTTTGTGCTAGCGTGGGCGCTGTGGACTTCTCTCAAGGGGCATTGACCGAGCGGCTCCTATTGCCTTCAGTGTGGTCGGTGTCGGGATCAGCAGAGGGCTGGTCTCTGCGCCTGAAATTAAGCCGGGCCATGACTGCTTCCTGCGAACCCTCAGTCAGACTAGGGCCTTCTTGAAATACAGGAGATGACATCCAGGCAAAGCTCAGTTCATTTTTAGATTCTTAATAACTTAAGAACGAGGGGCCCCACCTTTTCATTTTGCACCGGGCTTCCCATGGTACGTACCGCAGGCCCGCAGTGGCCTGTGCTGCAGGGAGCCACAGAGAGAAGTTCCGCAGTGTTGAGTCAGAGTCCCAGGAGAGCCTTGCCTTCTACCTGGAACCAGCAAAGGCCATTTGGCCCCAACGTGGCTGACATTGGCCAGGCGTGCGCTTACAATAAGCAAGCCAGGCGAACACTCTGCTCTTCCACACAGCTGCCCAACTGTATTTATGCTCTATGCTCTATGAATCTGGCGTAATTCTGAATCCTGCCATCTCACCATAAAGATGCTACAGAGAATAATTTTACTGCATTCTCAGCTCTGTGGATTCTTTCCAAGTCTCCCAATGGCAGTGGCTTGACTCTTCTCCTTCCTCTTGCCAAAGCCTGGTGTGTGTCATCCCTGCCCTGAGGGAGTTACTGAAGGACCAGAGCCAAACCAGGGTAGCCTGACTCACAGTCGACTCCCCAGTGGCCAAAGGGACTGTTCCATTTCCCAGAGCATGGTGTGGCTGCCTTGACCTGCAAGCCTTCAGTGGGAGAGCATTGTCAGCTCTGGCAAGTCTTCTGCAAGAACCAGGAAGAAATGTGCACACACTTCCCACTTCACCGTGACCCCACGCCATTCCCTTGTGTGTAGCAAACCTGAATGGATTGAAGTATCGTGTTAGTCCTCTGTGATCTGAAACTGCCAGAGATAATTCTTGAAAAGTGAGGGACTGGCAATGTAGGTCATTTTAAATCTTGAATTTAAATGTGCTTCCTGTTATATCCCAAATACTTGAGACTGGCAGTCCTTGTGATGGCTGTGTTACAGCAGCTCTAAGTCTCACTGGCCAGGGAGAGCTTAAACACAGCATCAGGTCTGCCCTTGACCGCTTCATCAAGGCCGATGCCTTCAGGGGGCATCCTCTTAGTGAGGCTCTCCTCTTCACAAGTGTAACCAGCCTGCTCGGTGACTGCGCTTGAGAAGGTGCTTTTCCCTCGGTATGTGCACTCATGAAAGACCACAGCTTGAAGTTCCCACCATTGTGGTGGTCAGCTGTTTATAAAGAGCCTTCACGCAAGTGCTGCCTGGTCCTCGATTTGTAAGGGGAGGGCCACTCATCCTGCAAAGGAGAAAGCAAGGACTTAGAAACTGACATGCCATGGGTCCAGAGCTATTACAAGACCGAGTCCGAATTTCAGAATCGCCCTCTGATCTCATGTCCACTGCCCTCTCTGTGATCCTAGATGACCCTAGAACCTATGGGCCCCTGGAGATAATCCCCCAGTATGTCCCTGTGTCTGTTATTGAACCACCTGGCTTAAAGTTAGAGGCCTTCTAGTCTCAAAAATAAGTAAATGGAAGAGAGACCCTTTAGCTTTAAGCTTTTACGGGGTGTGGGGATAGGACTTAAACTCAGCAAAAGTTTGTTTCATAGTTCAACAGGGTTTTTGTTTGTTTTATTGTGAACTGAGTGGGAGGGTTTATGTTTCAGACCATCGGCTCTGTGTTAAACAGTTCAGACCACAGATCAGTGCCCCCTACATTCTACCCCTCTTGCTGATTCTCTTTCCCTGCCATGGCCCTCCATCCTCCCTTTCACTCAGGTCAGCACCTGTCAACACTCTAGTGCATTGCTCAAGATTCCCTCCCTTGCCCTCCCCCTTTGGTAACCTCCTAAGTCTATTCCCTCTGGGATGCAAGTCATTGTCTCGATTTTCATCCTTAGAGTGGCCATCCAACCGTTGCCCCTTTGTGTTTGACTAACTTCACTCGGTATGATGATCTACAGGTCCATCCATGTAATGTGTATGTACCAAAACTTCCTTATCTATTCTTCTACTGAAGGGCGTGGAGCTGTTTACTTCTTGCTATTGTGAAAAGTACGGCAATGAATGTAGGTGTGCATATGTCTGTTTTTCTACGACTCTTAGTTCTTTAGGGTATGTACTCAGCAGAGGGATCGCAGGATCATGGGGAATTTCTATTCCCAGTTGTTTGAGGTAGCACCATATTGCTTTCCAGATATTTACAGTCCCACCAGCAATGTGAGGCTTCCAGGCTCTGCACCCACTACTTGGCAAGCAAAGAAAACTAAAGTAGACAAGGTCTCTGCTTTCATGACCCTTATATTCTGTAGGGGAGTGGTTTGTTTTATTGGTAAGTAGTCAGGGAAGAGACCTCTGAACAGATGACACTTAAGCTGAATTGTGGTTTTGGTTTTTTAGGAAAGAAAGGAACAGCCATATGCTAAGCTGAATAGTCTTAGTGGCCAACCCATCAACCTTCAGGCTGAAGGGAAGGCAGCATGGGGTAGGAACAGGCCAAAGGCCAATAGGACTCACATGGAGGGAACAAAAGGGAAGCATTCATGAGCAGGGATGGCATAGTTGGCAGGGACTGGGTTACATTTGGAATCTGAGGTCATGGACAAGCTTACTCATATTCTACACATCATTGGAAACCATTAAAGAGTTTTAAGTAAGGGGAAACAAGGCCTGATTGACAGTTTGAAAGCTCACACAGGTGTGATGGATTGAAACCGGTAGGGCAAGTATGGAAGCAGAGAGGTTATTGGGAGCATTGCAGACCAAGGGCTCAAGAAAGAGTAGCTATTATGATGTGTTGGCTGTCATTTGCCCTTGTGCATAATGGCTTATTGAAGTGTAGCCCAACATTACTCTCCTCAGGACCTCGAGTCAGGTGGTGTCTCATTCACCAGATAAATCTGCAGAGCCTTGCAATGTTGTCTGCACAGGAAGGGTGCCTGACCGGGGGCTTATTTTTTATTTGTAACACACACCTCATGGTTCTTTTATTTAGAGTTGCTTTATTCTTGTGTGCCAGCTGCATTTGCTAAAGCATCTGATAAGCCCCTATCCTAGCTTGTATTCAGACCTGAATATAGGTTAGCCCATCCCATCCGTGTTGCCTTCAAATCGACTCCAATTCATAGCAACTCTATAGGACAGAGTAGAACTGGTCCACAGGGCGTCTAGGCTCTGAGTCTTTACAGGAGGTGGCCCCATTTTTGCCCATGGGATGGCTGGTAGGTTTGAACCACTAACCTTTCAGCAACTCAGCCAAGCTCTTAACCATCACGCCATCAAACCTTCTGAATATGATAGGCTATGGAAATGAATTCTGACCCAGGGGTGAAATGTACAAGTGAGTTTCTTCCTTTGTAGCCGGATCGAACACCTCAAATCTCAAAATGACCTCCTCACCATAACCCTGGAGGAATGCAAGAGCAACGCCGAGCGGATGAGCATGCTGGTCGGAAAATACGAATCTAACGCCACAGCGCTGAGGCTGGCCCTGCAGTACAGGTGGGCAAGCACCTCTCTCCCTTGGTAGTCACTTTCATTTTGAAGTGCATCCAAATTTACCAGCGTATTGACAGTGGAAAACAGGCTTTTAGAAGACATAACTGGGGCATGGATCCACAAGTGTCGGTGTGACCTGTGGAAGATCACCCCATGCCTTTGTGGCCAATCAGAAAATGAAGCCACTGAGTGCCATTAACCAGCATGTATGTTTCTGCTCAAGCTGATAGTACTTCATGCAAGTAATAGTAGCACTCAAAAAACTCCTTTTTTGCTTTTCAGTGCTAATTCTTTTAAACCCTGACACATTTAAATATATATTATATTGTTGATACTGTGATGTATTTTTGAATGTTGCTTAACAGTCTGTTTACTTTGTTTTTTGTATTTGTTTAGTCTGTTTGCTTTGAATGATAATATTCCTCTATATTGGGTTTCATATACTGTGATTTGCTCATTTCTCTAAAAGGCATTCAGACTTTTGAAGAGTTCTTAATAATGAAAATAATTCTATGGTGAATAATTTAAAACGAGTGGGAGCTTGGGAATGTCTTTCCCAGGATTCGTCCCTCACGTAGAAAGCGGAGGATGAAGGACATGGAGATTATCATGACTTTCCCGGCTTGCCAACCATGCTATTCCTTCCAAACAAGCCATTTGAAGTCTTTCGCCGGTTCAATAATGAGCTGGTGATAGATGAACGCCCTACATTTTTTTCACCCTCATCAGCTTTGGAGTTTATTTTGAAACGACAGCTTATTTGTAGCACCATTTAACCATTTTTGCCAAAGTCCCAGACTGGGAACTGTGTTTTACACTTAGCATCCTGTATAAAGCTCAATGCTATTTTCAGAAACATGAATGTTTATGAGGCCAAAGCTAGCGAGAAGTCATGCTAATTTACAGACACACGAAAGCAAGCGGATGACCCATGCAGGGTAACTCTTACAACAGGCTGTCCTGTGCCAGCAGTCTGCCTTTCGTCAGAGAAGTGCTTCCTCACACTCACACTTCCTTACACATGAGGCAGTGCAGTGGCCGAGCTGGACGATAACTGCCCGTGAAAGGACGAGCTGCCGATACCAGGAGCTAGTGATTGGACCCTTCTCCTGAGAGCTCGGTGAAGGAAGATGAAAGTCATGACAATCGAAAGCAGATGTCTGTCAAGTGAATGTTGACTAAGCAACATTTCCCTACTCAGCTCGGAGACTACTCCGTTATTTGCTTAAAAGGGAAATCTTGCTACCACAGGTATCTTGCTTGGGTCCACACAGGTGTTGTGCACATGCTGACCTACATGTGTGGACCTGGATCATGTGGATTTCGGGCCGTGGTGGAGAAGGCCGCCTTCTGCCATCCTTGACTTGGTTTGCCCAAGCAGCTTTCTTTTTCCCTCTTAGAAATGCAAAGTCAACTGCTGGGCATAGATTTTTTTTTTGCTGGGCATAGATTTATGTGAAGGTCTGTGTTTCATGGGACGATTTTACAAGCATCTAATAGGGCTTTCTCTAATGATCTAACCATTCTATGGCTCTGCCGGCCAGTCTGGTGACCACCAGCCACACATGGCTCTTGGACATTTTACTTTTTTTAAAAAAAGTTTAAATATGAATAGCCATAGGTGGCTATTGTACAACTTTTGAATGGTGCAGGTCCGGATCAAACTAGCCTGCCATAGTGGTGTTATATTATCTATTGGTATGTAGTACATTATTACGTCCCCATGGTTGGAGGGTCCAGAATCTGGGAATGGCTTGACCCAGCAGTTCTGACTCAGAGTCTCACGAGATCCCATCAAGCTCTTGGCCAGAGCTGCACCGTCTGAAGCTTTAGCTCAGAAGGCTCATGCCCATGGCCGTTGGCTGGATTCCTCAGCTCTTTCCCATCTGTTGGCTGGGAACCTTAGTTCCTCACCATTTGGGCTTCTCCACAGGACTCTTTCAGTGTGTGTAAGACATGTCAGCTGGCTTCCCCAAGAGCAAGAGACTAGAGAGAGAGAGAGAGAGAGAGAGAGAGAGCGCAAGACAGAAGTCAGTCTTTTCAGGGACCTTGGGCGTGACACACCATCACTCCTGCTGTATTCTGTTGGTCACAAATCAGCCCTGATACTGTGTGGGAGGAGATGATGCAGGAATGTGGCTGCAGGAGTTGGGATCATTGGGAGCCACTTGGAGGCTGGCTACCAGTTGTCAAGTCAACTCATGCTCGTGTCGACCCCACGTGGGTCTGAGCGGGACTTTGCTTTCAGTGACTGGGTTTTCCAAAGTAAATCACCAGGCACTCTCTTCTCAAGTACCTCTGGGTGGAATTGAACCTCCAAGCCATTGGTCAACGGCTGAGTATGGTAATTGTTTACGCTACTCAGGGAGGTTGATCACAAATACATCCTTTGGGCTGATGGTCAACAAGATAACATGCTTGCCTCTCCCTAGTTTATTGCTTCTGTTTCGTTTTTTGATATCCTAGCATAAAGGAGACCTTGGGGAGTGAAGGGGTGTCTTTGACTAAGCTCTCGACAACTAGCAAGCCGTGTGGTAGTTCTAACCCGAGAGGCACCTCGAAGGCAGGCCTGGTAATCCACTTTCAAAAGTCTCGGTCTTGAAAGCATTAGGGGACTTCAGTGCTAGTCCGCACACATGAAATCACGGATGCCAGCCGCAACAGTGTAAAATAAAGAGCAAAGAAAAGAACATGTGGGGGGTGGGGGGGCTCAGTATAACAGAACATGCCCCTAGCTTTTTCCAGGGACTATTCATGGGTGGCTTCTTGGTTTTGGTGGAGAGTGAGGCTGAGAGGCACACCTGCAGCTGCCTCCCCTCAGGCTGGTGCTCCCTGCGGAGTTGAGGGCCCTGTGTCTGTTGCAGTGAGCAGTGCATAGAAGCCTACGAACTTCTCCTGGCACTGGCGGAAAGCGAGCAGAGCCTCATCCTGGGGCAGTTCCGAGCAGCCGGTGTGGGGTCCTCTGCCGGTGAGTGTTACCTGAGCCCCTGCAGCTTCTGGCTGCTTTCCTGCCTCCATTGCCCCACCGCCCCCAACCCAGCTGTTGGCTTTAGATCATCTCCGGGCGCCTGAAATGCACTTGTCAAGTGCGTTTTTCACTTTTCCTCACTAGTGGGTGAGTAAACTGTTTATGTGGAATGCAGTAGGAACTGGAGTGGAAACAGGCGAGTTAAAACAAACAACCTCTCGTAGGAAACATGCTCTCCTGGCAGACAGTGGGATGGAGGGAGCAGGAGACTCGCTAGTGAGGCTGGTTGTGGGGGATCCTTTGTCACCTGCATGGCCTTGGCCTTCTCTGTTTGCTTTGATTGCCTGGCCTTGTTCTCAGTCTGTCTTTTGTGGGGGGGTTAGTTTTGAAGCCCCGGTTCCCCTGACCTAGTCACCAGGTGTCTTTCTGAATCGGGGAAAGCATTGCACATGCCATGTTCTGCAGCTTCAGAAGACGCTAGCCCCGTGGGCCCCAGGACCTCCACCACCCCCGCCACCCCCCGCCACTCGGCCTTCCTCTCCCGCCACACCCCAGTGCTCACACACTGACCCTCTTCTGCCTTTCCGTTTGGAGTAGGTGGACGCCATCAAGGTAACCCCGGCGTCTGTGGCTGAGTTTTTCCAGAAGTTGATAGTCAGGCCTTTTTCCCCAGGTACATCTGGGTTTGTGCATGTCCCCCGAGGTCTGCTAGCTTCCATCGGGCTTAGCCTTTCCACCTGTGTCCTACCAAGAAGCGTGCACAACCAGGGCACCTCCCAAATCCCTCTCCTTGTATTCCTGCCAACACTTCTCCCCTCCTTTTTCCCAGGGTGTGTGTGTGTGTGTGTGTGTGTGTGTGACTTTTGCACAGAACAAAAGCTGGAGGAGAAAAAAGTATACTATGTCCTTCTTCGGTTTTGACGTGCACCAGGATCTGAAGCAAATCTAGGCCTGTGATTGCCGGCTTCACATCCACAGTTCGCAGCGTGGGAGCGGGCCTGCACTGACATGGTGACCGCCCTCTACATCCCCCTCTGTGTCTTTTTTTAATAGTCATTACAATCCCAGCCCAGAAGTAGAAACTCTGCCAGCATTTCCATTAGAAACCTCATTTTTCAGGATTTTTAACCGAACCATAAAACTTTATTCTCATATGAAACAGATCCTGAGATGATCTTGGCTTCCTGTCAAAAACTTTGTTACCTTTTTTTGGGGTGTGTGTGTGTGTGTGTGTGTGTGTGTGTGTGTGTGTTCCAATATATGTATTTAGAAGAATGATCAATTACCGAGCATAAAAACATCCTATTTCCAGGTTGTATCAGAGGACTTTCTACACCACTCCATCCTGGAAGAGTACCTTTCGCTAGCCTCCTACCTACTCAGCACAGTGATGTGGTAGAAGCTAAAAAGGCTTAAATAAACCTGCATTTAAAAATCTTTAAAATCAATGCTGAAATGCTTTATATTTGCCCAATACTGAGTAGCTCATGTGAATATTTAAAAGACGAGCCAGTGAGTCTACGGGAGACTGAGTTTCAGGAACCCCCGGGGACAGTTCTAGCCTGCTCTGTAGGGTCGCTGTGGGTCGGAGAAGACTCTGGCAGTGAGATCTGACTTCGGGTAGAACTCAGAGAGCACCTGGAGGGTGAACTAGGTCCTCAGTGGGAAGAAGCGAGGTATGACGGTGGTCAGAAATGAATGTCAGGAGACCCCGGGAACCTTAACCTGTGGGAAGCCCCCCACCCCCAGTTTCTCTCCCTATTTGCCATAGAGCTGAAGGCTGGCTTCATTTGTAAAAGGCAGCCTTGGTTCTACGGAAGAAGGTCCCTGGTTGACGCAAACCATTTGCACACACTGGCAGCGCTTTCTTGAACCTTTTGGTTTTTCTCCGGGATTTTCACCAGCCCGAAGGTGGCTGTTTAAACTCACCCGGCAGCCTGTAGAAGAAAGGACTGGCGATCTGCTTCCACAAAGATCACAACCAGGCAAACCCCACGGAGCAGCTCTGCCGCGTAACACGTGGAGTCAGTCACAGGCATTGGACTAGACTTGGCAGTCCGGGGCTTGGCCAGCTGATGGCAGGCAAGCGTGGTACAGCAGAACAAGTGTTTACCTGGGAATTTAC